TACGGAAAAAGATGCTTCGCAAACTATCCGTCAAGTTCTCGAGGCTGTAGACTACCTTCATGACAATAACGTTGTTCACAGAGGTAGGAATTTCAACATGGGTTTTCATTCTTAGCTGACAATAATTAGATCTCAAACCTGAGAACTTACTCTACCTCACTCAAGACCCTCACTCCGACCTCGTACTTGCAGATTTCGGTATCGCCAAAATGCTCGACACAAAAGATGAAGTTCTTACAACAATGGCTGGATCATTTGGTTATGCCGCTCCTGAAGTTATGTTGAAGAAGGGCCATGGAAAGCCTGTAGATATGTGGTCTATGGGTGTCATTACTTATACTCTCCTCTGCGGTTACTCTCCTTTCCGAAGCGAGAATCTTCAAGATCTTATCGAAGAGTGCAGCAATGCTAGAGTCATTTTCCATGAACGATACTGGAAGGATGTTAGTGATGATGCAAAGGATTTCATAGGTCATCTTTTACAACCACGTGCAGACGATAGATCTACAAGCAAGGTGTGTTTTACAGAAACTAGTATTGGTCAAATTCAGAGTCACTAAAGATTTTATAGGAAGCACTCGCGCATCCATGGTTGAGCGGAGAGAATGCCACCGATCACAACTTGCTTCCAGAAATCAAGGCTTACATGGCCAAAGCCCGTCTTCGTCGTGGTATCGAAATGGTCAAGCTCACCAACCGCATCGAAATGCTCAAAATGCAAGAAGACGACAACGAAGAATCAGACCTTCCCGGAAATGCTGCAGCCGCCGCTAGCGACGCTATTCCTGGTAGCCCAGAGAGAAAAAATACTGGTTCGTCTTCAGCTTCAGGATCTACATCTCCTGGAGAAAAGAGAAGTTTGAGTAAAATAGCCAAGGGAGCCATTTTTAGGGAAGTGGTGTTGGCGAAGGTTAGAGAAGTCAAGGCAGAAGAGGCGGCAGCTCAAATTGAGAGACAGGCAACTGAAGCGGCAAAGAAGAAGTCGTCGACTCAATAAATTAAGTTCTATTGGCCTCTGTGTTTCTCACGGCGATTGTTGGATGAGATAGGCGACAAAATTATGTTTCCCGGGTTGTATGGGGATTCTTCCGAGCTTGGCCTGGGGTGATATCAATAGGTACCTTTTGATGGATAACATTGTGAATATCGGGTATGGGCTATAGGGTATTGATGATTCTACTTCTTCTTTTTGCGCGAATGGTTTTTAAATTCCTGACATGGGATGATCGGGTTGGTCGAAAGGCATGGATGGATGGATTATTATAGGGTTAGTCGGATGGACTTGGTCTTGAGTACGAGAGTACCTAGCTACCTCTACCTATTTATGCAGATGGCGAATGGGATTCGATTTTGAATTCGATTCCGTGTGAAGACTACATGTTTTGATGTGAATGAAATGATTTGAAGCAATAATGTCCATATGAATGGTTTGATCTTCCTCATTCTGGTTGGTGATATATTCAAACGTTGTAGACACTGGAGAATCTGCTAGTGCAGTTTTGTAGATAGGTTTTACTTCTTGGGTAGAGATTAGTAATGTGATTGCGCATCATCTAAATCTATCGAGAAATCGTGACCATATAGATGTATGAGAGGGTGGGATTTAGGGAGAAGAGGGGTGGGGGTGGGGGTTTGGTATTCATGTCGAGAACTTGAGATAGAAGCTGTGTCTTTCTGTTCATCTTGCTTTTTCTCATCTCATGATTCATCGATATCTGACATCCATATCGTTTGGGGATTCCACACCATGGATGTGCTTACCAGTCTGTGATGGATCTTTGATTGTATACCTTTCTTCTTCATATCGAGTCGATGAACTTTGGGTTAGGTTGCTGCTCTGCTCGTCTGTTCTCGGATGTTTGTTTGAGGATGGGTAGTTGTTATTCATGGTTCGTACGTATGGATGTGTATGGATAGGTATATAGGTATCGCTTCCAATATTTATTGTTGTTCATTGATTCATTAGCGTAGCTTCATCTTTCCTCTCATTGTCGAAAGGGGAAATGGTCTTCTCGCGTAATACCAGCTTAAAAGCACGATCTATACATACCTAGTTCTCCTTTCACCCAACGAAAGTTGCGATCCACTGTCCCTAGAAAAATGCTTGCCATATAACTCTTTTATGACTTACTGCCCTTCCGCAATGGAGACATGAAGACTCCTTTGACCTAGCTTTAATATTTTACTTGAGGATTCAAATGAATGAATGTATGGACGGATGGATTGGTCTTTTATACCTGCTCTGCTTTACTCTGTTGTGTACGTTTGGTTGTTTTTCTGGATCTTGGATTCGAGATACTGGATGTGATGGTAGATTGAATTTGTATCCACTCTTTTGATCTTCGGAAACTCTAACTACCTATCTAAGTAGGTTGGGTGTTTTCCGAGGTTTGCTAGTATATATACTACACCTTAACGAATTTTCCAAAGCAGACCAACGAGGTGAGGATTGTACTGGTATTGAAATAGGTTGGCTTTGTGTTCTTAGATTCGGGGGGCTTTTGTACTTAGGGGGGAAATGGGAGAGAGGATTCTAGTTGAAACGGGTATATTGATAGGGAAAAGTTTGTTATAAACTCTTCGTCGATTTGAGAGGCGAGTTTTTGTCGGTATATCTGAATATGCGCGATGGTTTCTTGTCGAATTAATATATATTCTCTTACTATCAAAGATTTGAAATTAAGCTGGATCTCACATATTGTATTTCTATCGTTTTATAGTATATATCAGAGCCTTTATTTTATCTACACGATTAGATGGTGATGGTATACTGACGTGGCTGATTGGATGTATAGTATAATGTTCAATCGACATACAGTATGGGTAGGTTTTATATCGTATAGATTTAAGAAGTATACATACAAACACAAAGTAGTATGCGTTCATATCTACGAGCGAAAGATCTACTCACTTCTATTCTACTGGATACATGAATATCAGCGAGGAGAGATTGAGTGTCTGTATAAGAGTTATCTGGATTCGAAATTATAACATCAGGTAATACTAAAATCATCATGACCATAACTTTCAGAGTAAAATTTAGTTTGTGGCTCTCTCTATTATGTACTGTAATGTTCGTTATGAAATCTTCTCACTTCTTATAAACGATGTGAGAATAACTCTGTACGCGTTTGTTGTCATTTATATTATCTGTTTACCTTGTATACTTCTGTTGTCGTAATGTGATAGGCGTAGAAGAGGGAATTGATAGTGAGTTTCGTCCCGTTATCGAATTCTTCATATATACATGCAACATTTTAGACATAGTATTACAAAGTAGTCAGTGGGATATGGATTCTTGGATTATACATACTAGCTAGATAACATCTTAATAATCCTATTAAGCCACTTGCTCTTTATCGCCGGCTTCCCAAATAGATTCCAAACTCACATACAAGACAAAAGGAGCTGGAAATTTATACCCGATGTACTTAAGCTACAAAAGTGGTATCGTATGAGATTAGATCCAAATATATAGATCGTCGAATCATTAGAAGACTAAATCCTTAAACTTACACATTCAAATTGGAACTCAGAATTGCACTCTCCCAAACATCGACAATAGTACGATCTATATCGCGTGTCTAACCATTAGAGAGATTCGAAGACTTGATGTAAATATGTACAGCCTCTGGAGTATCGAATATAGCTAACTAACTTCATCTTATGAGGATTGTACTTTCAGATAGAGAGTTGGGTGGTGGGGTGGATAGATGATGGGGGGAGTTGGGTGATGATATGATTCATTGGGAAATTACTCGTGTGAAATATGAAATGTCTGCTTCGAGGATTTAGTACGAATTATTTATTAATGGATACAACTTTGCTTGAATCTTAGATGAAGAGAGAGAGAGAGATGTGTAAGGGGGGGAAGAATGTATAAGACTTTGTTTACATCTTCTCAAAGAGAAAGACTTGTATGAGAAACCGTACATAGTTCCTTCCCCTTCTTATAGCGAAACAAAAAAAATGTTGAAATTTACTATTCTCTGTCTCATGCACAAAGACAAGCCTTAATTAACTAATATCACACACACTATTTTATAATCAATAAATACTTCAACTCCTAAAAGCATAAATAAACTCTGCTTCGTCCGTCATCTTACCTACCTACCTCTCTCGACCGAACCCCACAAAAAAACCTCAAACAGTCCTAGACGAGATACAAAAAAAATGAAAAGAGTCAATGAAGGGAATTGAGCCCAACGCGGGGGTCGAACCCGCAACCTTGTGATGGACCAGAAGATCTTTGAAATCATAAGAGTCACACGCTCTACCGATTGAGCTAGCCGGGCAGGCTTTGTTCTGATGTTGAAGAAAGCTTTATTAAACTGATTTATATTCAAGTTTAAAAATCCAATGTTTGAGTGGTGGATAATGAATGAGGGGTAAGGTTAAGCGGGTAAGAGTTTTTTTTATGGTGGGGTTCTTGAGGATGTGAGTGATTGGTGGGTAGTGAAGGATTTGGTTGGTGTATGATGAAGGCTAATAAGTTGGTGGAGCCGTGCGTGTAATGCAAAAGTTGCTTGTTGATTGGGCTGAGCCGACCGAGCCGAGTTGGCCGGCAATTGTAATGGCTAGGTACTCAGAAATGATCAGAGAAGTATGGGTTGAAGAAGGTTCTTATATTTTTTATATTAATGGTGGTGAAAAGTAGGCTGCATACATGCTTGGAAGTGGAGGATATATGAGGTTTGAAAAAACGCTGAATGGGTATCTATGTATCTTTATCGTGTACAGTGTGCACAAGTTGAATGTTATGGTATACTTTTTTCTTCGTCTTCCTCTGTTCATCTTGCTTCATCCCGTCAATAACTCCAACCCATTTACAATAGCCAAATTGCCAGCTCGATTAATCTCCAAACCTCCAAAGCAATACGATTGGCTCGTTATGAGACACAAGGGATACACATACATACTCAGCTTGTGCTTTTATGCAATTCTGGAAGCTCTGCAGGCTTAGTGAAGTTGTAACCAAAATCTGAGCTACATCGTAGCAGCTAAAAGTTAAACTCGTTATCATCATCATCACTGTTGCTAACGGACGTCTTGTCCTCCGGCTTTAGTGTTACAACATCCTTGATTTCCTCATTAACCAAATCTCCCATCTCAGAGCTATCTGTCAATATTGTCCTGGCCTCCTCGTCGGAGACATTCATGTCTTCTTTAATCAACAAGACTGTAACTTCAGGAACGATAACCGAGTCAACAAATGCAGCTGTGCTTCTTGCTGCGATAAGACGATCGAGTGGTGCTCTGTACTTTAACAATGGCGTAAACTCGTGCATGATATTTTCGGAAATTAGACGTAGACCTCGAGAACCATAATAGCCAGGTATAAGATTCGTAGAACTCTTCATCAAATTTCGGTCTTTTCCAGCTTTAACCTTTTCATCAAACACTTCTCGATAGTGACATGTTGCGCCTTCAATTATCTCCTTAATGAATGCATGATGATTGGAAATTCTAGAATCCAGAGTTTCCCAGTCGATGTCAGGGTATCCTTTAGACTTCCAATTTGATCTAGCACTTTTTCGTTGATGAGATAAACAAAATTTCTCCTGCTTCCTAGTATTCATCTTTCCAAGCGCCTTCAAATCTTCAGCAGCTACAGGTTCGTTACACATTGGACAACGAGATCCAGTGTAATCGTCGATATCCGGACTATCTTCCCTCTCAAGATTTTCCATGCCGATAATGGCATGCGGATTTAGCTTCTTAGCCAGTTCCTCCGCTCCATCCAATATATCATCATCGTCGTATCTTTGAAATGGTCTGGGTTGCGTTGATGGGGTTGCGGATTTCGATTTCTTCAATTTACCAAACAAATCTAAATCTGAAAAATCGTCATCACTGAAATCCGGGCGGACAAAGCCTCTGACTGGACTTTTGGTTTTCGTTGGACTATCGACTGTATAGTCTTGAAGCTTTGGCTTTCCATTGTCGCTGACCATACTTGAAGATCTACTTTTGTAGTTCCTGAAACAGTTTTCGGGCGCTGGATTTTTCTTCTTCCCATACATGGAGGGCTTATTTGGTTTGTTCTTTGGTTTGGTATCCTTGAACAACGACAGTTTATTGGCACCAGCTATTCTATTTGTTAGTTAAAGCAAACCAATGTCTTGTTGAACGTACGTCTTGAACTTCTGGTCTGATCCGGATGCTCCTTGGTGTATGATTTCAGCTTCTTATTACTGCTCTGCATGTTTCCGAAAATATTCACAACTGGATCATGTTCCAAGTCGTTCTCATTCTTTCTTTTGCTGCTATGAGTTGACTTTAATTCAGATGACTGCTGTCTTGAGTCCTTTAGAATGGGCAAAGAAGACGTTACAGGGGTTTGACTCGACTTTTGATTTTTTGATCCAAAAACTGTCTTCGTCATATCTGCGCTGATTCTTGAGGGCGATTCGTCTTCAGAAGAGTCGATGATGTATTTTCCATCATCATCGGAATCATCTGGAGGCCGATCAACATCCTCATTCACAACTTCAATTGACTTCATGATAGAGGACTTCGATGAACTTGGTTCATTCTCCTTATTTGACCCCTTGTTTCTTCGCTTGCATGATGCTGCGTTTTGAGCGCCGCCAACGTCGCCAGAATTTCGAACATTAGTAACATCATTGGGACGGGTCGTCGTTGCGGCTTTTGTCGCCATTGCGGGTTGTTCTTCCTTCTTCGGTCGATTGAGTGATTGTAAGAGGTTATGAGGATAATTCTTGGTCAATCCAGCACGGCGTGGTTGTGCTTTCCCTCTATCGTTAAGATCTAATTTTGTATGATCCATCTTGAAGATCGCGTCGCGGTATGATAAGTAAAGTAAGGCAAGGAAGGATTGTTGAAATAAGATAGGCGCGTGGATTTTGTGGAAATAGTCACTATCCAGATATAAAACGAGTAAGTAAGTGTTGTAACTTCATTGTTTTTCGAAGATATAATATATTGTACATTTATAGGAAATCTATAAAGGTTTGTACGGTGACAAGTCTCTACCTTTCTTTACAGGTACAACTGAATTGATACGCTCGAGATACGGTATCACGAGAGTATGAGAGCTTCAATATATAAATGGTCCAAGCTTCACACCCCTGCTAATGCGGGATTCACCAATTAGGCCCGCGATTCCGTGTACTACGTATCTACCAGGTATCATATCACATTTAAATGTTTGAACTGTACTTAATCCTTCACCAGAGGCATTCGGTCCAAAATATCCATCATGGCTGCTCTCAACAGAAAATACGCGGCATTGCCAGATTTGGTATGTTTAAGTGGATATCTAAAAGCTTCAACATTTGACAAATATCCTCTAGGATTCAGCACCAGATATTTATGAAACCCCTGAGTTAACAGAGGATAATTCGACTGCGCCTGTAGGTTATATGAACGTACTCCATCCCTTCAACCCTTCTAACACCCTTTAGACTGGCAGACCTCATTCCCAATCAACTTCTTCTTCTTATCAAGATTTCGATGAAGACGACGACGAAGTGGGTGGTATTTCCCGTGCGCGATTACAGCCCGACGAAGCCCGTTCGCATTTCTCCCCGGCACAAGTAGATGCACGCGATGTAGACTTCTCAGATAGAGTCACGGCTAAGAGGAAATCATATAAAGCTTCTTCCAGGCGACATAGGAAGAGGCAAGACGGCACAGAAGAATTTGGCGACTTCAGTGATGACGATGATGGGGAAAGCTTGGAACGAAAACTCGCAAGATTACGACGTGAAATCGAGGAAGTTAAAGAAGAATTTGGAAAGAGAAACCAAGAGAAGAAGGATTTGGGTGAAGAAGAAGAGTCCAACGATGGAGATGATGTTGCCTCCTTAAGTAAATTGTTGGATGGGATATCTGACAACCCAGGAGATCAAGTCACGAGTGCTGGAGCAAGATTGGCGAGGGATTTAGGAACTGGAATCAAAGCAAACGGGCCATCACAAATTTCACAAGGAACGGGAGAACCTGCTACATACACTGTTACATATGCGCCTACATACCAGCAAAGTCATGCTTTGGCGAAAGCAGCAGATTTCGATGGACGATTGGCCCTTCTAGAAAAGGTTCTTGGACTCAATTCGACAATGGAATCTACCAGTAGCTCAACAGCTGTTTTACCTACTCTTGATATTCTCGAAAGACAAGTCTCAATCCTTACGGAGTCTACGCCATCGTCCCTTGACAGCATAAGCCGAAGAGTTCGAACATTGACACAAGAAGCCGAAAAACTAGAAGAGTCTCGAAAATCGGCAAGAGCTGCAAAAGATTCTTTAACATCAGCTGGAGGAGAAACTGCCCCTGAGGATGGGCAAGATTCAGAACAGATTTCAAAGATCAATGCGCTATATGGAACTTTGCCCACTATCGAGAATCTCGCGCCTCTTTTGCCATCCTTGTTGGACAGATTACGATCATTACGAGCTATTCACGGAGATGCTGCTACAGCTAGTGAGAACTTGGATAGAGTGGAGCAAAGACAGGTCGAAATGTCGAACGATATTAAGAAATGGCAAGAAGGATTGGAGAAGGTTGAGGAGGCAATCAAACAAGGAGAAACGGTCATCGGAGGGAATATGAAAGTTGTAGAAGGTTGGGTCAAAGATCTTGAAGATAAGATGTCAAAATTATAGTTAGAAGTGTCAGCCTTGTAATAGCTAGTTCCCGTCAACCTTAGCATAAGCTAGGTTTTTAAGATACCCAATCAAAAGTATGAACCGATTCCCACCTCCATATACCCCGGATCTAGCCTCGTCTTTCTTGGTATAGCTCGTATAGGTAAGTAATCACAATAGAAGATTGAAACATTTAAATCCACTCTCGATGAAACTCATTCTCCTTATGTAGTAGGCAAGGAACGATATTCCAAGCTATTATTATTTTGTACCGTATTTAGAACAATTGTCTTTGTAGAAGGCTGAGTACGTGGAGCCTTATGTGTAAGATACAATTTGGCGTTATCTGTCATATTAAGCTCATTACCCCCTTTGCACTTTCCCTTTTTGTTACATCTACACACTTTCACTCGTTCAATTTTCATTGAGTGTTACAATTGAAGTATCTCAGAAGGAAAGCAAATAGGGAAGTAGCATGTGAGACCTTTCCAATTCAAAATTGCTCAGTAAGTTCATTGCAATTCCTCATCCCTTTCCTCATCAAAAGCAATTCCATGCAGATGTCCGTACGAAATACGTACTTTTTGTACTTTATCAAACGGTATACGACACGAATTTCTTATTTCGTATTCAAGAACACATGCGCATGTGCATATAATCAAAATGACTATGGCAACAAATATTGATGATGACGCGGCAGATCCGAATTCGAACTTCGACAAGAGAGAAGTAGGAGAGAGACAGAAGCGCAATTACTTCAAGAGAGGGGATACGACTATCAATTTTGACGAGCGACAACAACAGGCTGAGGAATTTGAATTCGACGAAAGACAAGGACGCTCGAGAAATAGGGTTCGTGGTCGTGTGGTAGAAGGTCTGGGTGAGACCAGTGAAGGGGTTCTTAGAGGAGGAGATCTTGATTTTGAGGGATACTTTGAAAGTAAAGCAAATATGGCTTCATGGAGTGGGCAACCGGCTATAAAGGGGAGTACGGAGCAGATGCGAATGGCACTGTTGACTTTTTCTTTGGTTGGATTGCAGTAGGTTAAATATGAAAGAAAATGATAGCAATCGATCACATTGACTGATTTGGTGTGCAGGTTTACTTGGGGTATTGAAATGACCTGTAGGTTGAACATTGCTCGAGTTCATGGGAAATGCTGACCTATTGGCCTGAACAGATTGTACACCATATTTACTTTCACTCGGTCTCACGAAATCGAAAACTTCTTTGGTATGGATTGCGGGACCTTTATCTGGGTTGATTATGGCACCGCTTGTAGGGGCAATGGCAGATCGTTCGCGTTCAAAATGGGGTAGAAGAAGGCCATACATGGTGGGGGCTTCTATACTTGTCGCATTATGCTTGTTAGTACTGGGATGGACAAAGGAAATCGTATCTCATTTTGTGGAAGAAGGGGATTTCAATAAGAGTTGTACAATATTTTTGGCAGTGTTGGCAATTTATGCGGTGGATTTCGCTATCAATGCTGGTAAGTTTGAAATCCCAGCCTGGGTGCTTGATGAGGATATTAATCAATACAGTTCAATGGAGTTGTCGAAGTCTGATCGTGGATACTCTTCCTATACAAAAGCAACAAGCAGGGTCGGCATGGGGTGAGTTTGCTTCACTCATTTTTAATTGGAAAATCATTGACATCTTCCAGCTAGCAGAATGGCCGCTATGGGGCACTTGGTCGGTTACGCTATTGGTACTGTTGATCTTGTCGCTTGGTTTGGTCCCTCAATGGGTGACACACAGTTCAAGAAGCTTATTCTAATTGCGGCGTTTGCGCTCATATTTTGTGTGTGTGTCACTTCGTGGGCCGTAACGGAACGTGTTTTGATATCTAGCAAAGACTCTGACTCCCAATCTGGGTTACTCAAAATTACACGACAAATATATAGAACAACAATGACAGTTCCTCCAAAGATTCAAGCCATTCTGTGGTGCCAATTTTGGAGCTGGATTGGATGGTTCCCATTCCTATTCTATGGTACTACATTCGTTGGAGAAACCTACTTCAGGTATGATGCTCCGCACGAGATCAAAGAATCTAAAGATGCACTTGGAGATATTGGAAGGATCGGAAGCATGTCCCTCGTTGTGTTCTCATTCGTGTCATCTTTTGGATCTTTCCTTTTACCTCTATTGATCAAGTCACCTGATGAGGACAAATTCACTCAGCGACCACCAGCAAGTATTGCTCGATTTGTTCAAGCGTACAACAAATACAAGCCAGATCTTCTTGGGGCTTGGTTTGTTGGACATTTGATGTTTTCATCAGCTATGTTTTTAGCACCATTTGCATCTTCATTTCGATTTGCAACTTCGTTAATTGCATTCTGTGGATTGTGAGTTTTTAAAAAACATTATTTCACTGCCTTTCCATTAACTAACACCTTCTAGGCCATGGTCTGTCGCATCTTGGGCACCATATGCATTCCTTGGTGTCGAGGTAAACAAGATGAGCGGACTCCCATCTTATAGCCGCCTTTCCACCGTCGACCGTGATATTGAGCTGGAGTCACCCACTGGTCCTCCATCACCCTCCCTCCTTCGCCTAGAACATGGCCCAGTTGGAGAAAAGGAAGACGTTGCGTCTACCGGTGAACTTTCTGGAATCTACTTCGGAATTCTTAACATCTACACCACCATTCCACAATTTATTGGAACTTTCATCAGTATGATCGTTTTCAGTATATTGGAGCCAGGTAAAAGTCCAGAGTTGGCTCAAAATGCAAAGGAAGGGGAACATCATGGGACAGATGGTCCAAATGCTATTAGTATTTGTTTGTTCATTGGCGCAATTAGTACTATTGGGGCTGCCTATGCAACTAAAAAGTTGAGAGATTTGCAGTAGGATGGTTGGTAGTATTTACGAGCCTGTAATTGTAAGGTAATAGCGGGGTTTATTTAGATGGGGATTGAGATTCAAATTTGTGGGTAGCATTGCATGGCGCTGTGGGTGAAGAGTACTTGTTTGAGGTAGCTCGAAGTGTGTTGTACTTTTTTTGACAAGGTGTTAGGAATAGATTGGGATGGATGGATGGATACTGACTGGGATGGACGACATAAAATATGTCTGTTTCTTTTGTGGTTTACTGAAATGCTCTAGATAGATAGGTGGATGGAATTATATGCACCACTGCTTCTTGTTCGTATATTTTTCATTGGCGTGAATAGGTGTATATTGATCGTTCGATTGGGAACTGCGTGTTAAACATAATTTGGGGAGGGGTTTCAAATGTTTGTTTTATGGCGGGATATTGGAATGCATCCATCTAATGTCTTCCTGACTATTCATTCATGACATACTTTTTTATGAGATAACGAATCTAAATGTTGATAGGCTAGGTGAGGCCTCTCTTCATACCTAGGAAAAGTGCCTCTATGTGTATAATTCGTCCCTGGTGAGGAGCTGTCTGTCTAGCTGGCTGCGTTTCTGGCTTCCTAGCAAGCATACGAAGAGAACACTCTCCATTCGATGAGTAGAATTGAAGTGCGACTGAGATTGAGATTTGTCTTCTATATCCGTTTAGAACATAACTGAAGTGATCATTCGAAGAGTGGTGAAATGATAATCCACTACTACTAGCAATATGACGATCTGAAGCCAGCACAATAAAAACACAACACATGCCCACAATGACATGATTGAGATACTATCCAAGTTCGCAATGGCCATCCATCTATAGATTTACAGATATTCCATGAGTGCTTACTGCAACTACAAAAAATACACAGTTTTAAGAATGATGCCTTCAACAAAAACAATGTGAGAATCACGGAGCAGTTGAAGCTCCCTAGCCGGTTCGAACGACTGACCTGACGATAATAACGAAATGCTACTGCAATCGTCCGCTCTACCACTGAGCTAAGGAAGCGATTCTTTTCATATATTGAAATTTTGTTTTTCTATTTATATTCGAAGAATCAAAACATACACTGTACATGGCGGGGTGGGGATGCGGAGTGGAGCGTTGAAATCCGTGTTGTTAATGAGAATGAAAATGGGTGGAGATGGAATGAGGGGCTGCAAAATGGGATTATGAAGAGAGAATCGAAGCGAATGAGTATACAATCATGTGATTAAGGACCGCTGGCGCAACGGTAGCGCGTTCGACTCCAGATCGAAAGGTTATCCGTTCAAATCGGGTGTGGTTCAATACCTCCTGTGATCGCTGATTCTTTTGCTTTTGTCGTCTTGGGGGAAATCGTAAGGGTCTGAAGTTGAAGGGAAGGAGATGAAGAAGACGACAGCGTGGGAACTGTGAAGAGGTGGGAAAGTTTTGGCTTCTAGTGGGGGGGGAGAGAGGGGGGTGCGGGACTTCTGGGTCTGAGTCTCTGAGATGATACGGTGTAGTCAGATTTGTTTTTGCTAGGGCTAGATACTTCTCATCAGCCCATTCACTAGAGATATTGGATATTGACTGTCAGTGCCTAGGTGAGATTAACCATAGGATTAGAATAGAGCATTTTATCCAATTAAAGTTTATCCATTCAATCAAATAGTTGAATAGTCTTCTTTTTTTCAATGTACCACTCACTGATGGTGGGCTGGTTAATTGATAGTGGATGAATGAAGGGGTTAGCCGAGCCTAGATGGGGTTGAGGGTCGTCTAGCTCCACACATCAATTTTTCCTGCATGTAGTGGGGGAAGGGTCAGCCAATGTCTGATCACGTTTCCTATGACCCCCCACCATAGTTCACCAAGCGAGCTAAATGTGCAAGTGGGTATATATATTGAACAATTCGTCATGTTAAACAACCGAAATCCCTCGTGGCGCAATTGGCTAGCGCGTTCGACTGTTACTTGAAGCGATTCAAATAAATAAATCGAGAGGTTCGTGGTTCGACCCCACGCGAGGGAGGTAAATCTTTTGTTTTTGTTGACATGACCTATTTTGCAATAATTGTGCGCAACTGTAGTGTGTCTGTCTTCCACCCGAGTCCCCATTAGATTGGACATTGAGGGCGGTCAAACTTTTTCTTATCTCATGTAACAATTTTGCTACTGTATCTATCACCAACCAACCAATGCAATCATATACATGCTTGTTTCCAGACAAACATAGTAAATTAAATTGGTGTAGTTAAGTTAAGATCAGTCGATTGAATGAATGTATTTCTGTTCTCGAAGTGTAAAATGAGTTTCCATTGTAAGATGGGGTTCGCCCACTAATAAAGTACGAACGTCTCCAAGATATAATTTGGGGAAGAGACACTCACTATCCACAACTGCCATCTCGTTGATTTGTTGATTGAAGACTTGGGTAGGTGTCTAGGTGTCTAGGTATCTAGGTTGCTTGCTTGGTTGATAGGTAGTAAGCAGATACCGGTATACTACCATACCAGTGTACTTAAAAGATCCAGGCGGTGGTGCTTCTTTCCAAAAGTACTCTCTCTCTCTACGGGGAGTATTTAGTACTGATTGCGTTGATATCCTCGGGTACCCCACCAATCTATGTAAGCACAACCTTAAAAAAATGGATCGGTTCTTCAATTTCTTCTCGAACCTGAGTCCACGAACAATTTTCTTTTAGATATCTCGTTGCGTTGATTTTTGGTGCTTTTTTGAAGTTGTTGAATTTTTGGTTCTGGTGGTGGTGGGACGCGACCAATGAGATTGAATAGCCGAAGCCCGACCCGACCAATTTTCAATCTATGTTTGTAGTGTATGTAGTTTACTATATTTCTGCTTCGATCAGATGATAATTTTTAACTACCTAGTTGTGAATGAATCATTTGCTGCGGTGACAAAGTCGAGACGTTAGTTGCATCTAACGAGCCTCGCATTGTTGAAAGTTTCAATGTGAATCTAGAGCATTCAGCATATGAAGAGAACGTCGAAGTGAATGAATGGCTCTTGGGAATTATCTGCACAACTGTAGTAAATTCACTGATAGATGGATATGTACTTTTGACCAATTTAGACAAGTTTAGTGACGTTCCCTCGGTAATTGTCACATTGAGAGGTTCACATTAGTACCTTTATTCGAGTATAAGGATGGAAGGGGATGTTGTTAGTAGTGTTTACGATGTCAACAGGCAGTGTTTCTGATTTACGAGACTAGAGACGTAAAGAGAGAGAAGGGAAGAGGAAATTGGCGGACGAGAAATATATATCCTAAATATAAAAAGGCTGAGACATGGTCGTCCATAGTTTTTGCTTCAAAGCACGTAGAAGCTTGTAGGATATCAACGATATAAGTGAAATTCCGGATTTCAAAAATACATGTCGTTACTTTCTAGCTGATAATGGAAAAAATACACGTTACTAGATGAGTCATTTTCATTAGGAAGTCGATAGAGATCTGAACGTCCTTCTTTTCAGACTTAGTCCGAACTGTCAGGGCAGTATTTGAGGTATCGAGAGCTATTCCATTGAGTATCTCGTAGCAACTCAGTAATCGATAAAAACATATCACTCACTTCACTTCAAACCGAAATAGATACATTTTACTCTCTCAACTTTACTGGGGTTTACAGTACTACATATAAAATATGATCTATTCCTAAAATTCTTCTAGTCCTGTATTATTCTCCAAGTCTATCATAGCACATCATTATTTGGAAATCTTAATGATTTCATAAATTCAAGTCATTCTTGAACATCCAAACTAATATACTTGACTCTAAATCACTCTATGATCTTAAAATTTTCAGTTGTTATTAAGAGAAGTCTATTTATATTCACTCTCAATTTGAGTATCTTGTAGCTATATTCGAGGACTGAACCACAGACTAAGCATCGCTTTAATTTCACTCTAATATTTGATATCTATTATTGAACTGAAAGACTCTAGCATCGCTCTCCTACCTAGCAGATATTCTCATCGCCTTGAAATCTAATATTGAATCGACTCATGAATAGACTTGAGTTTTCACCGAAAAAAAACTGTGGTCACAGAACGATATACCACTGCATTGTTCGTTGAACTTGAAGATATGAACGAGCCAGAATCAAAGTCTTAGTCTTCTTTCTTCCCTTATGAGAAATCTATCTTCAAACAGTGACTCGAATTAGGAATCTAAGGCCATAATTCAGAATGTAAATCTGAACGTTTATATGCGTCCTAATAAAAAATTATTGCAAAGTTCAATGATTGTGATTGTATGAACGTAGGTGAATGGCCTTAAGTCATTAGTCTACTGGAATACAATTAATGAGAGGATTGGCCTCGTAGCCATCCCTATATGAGGATTGCCTCTACTCGTATACAGCTAGCTCTTTATATTGAATACAATAGGGTCATACATCATATGTACAAAGTCATCCGTATTCTCCTCATATATAGTGATCATATAGTAAAATACTACAAGCTACTTGAAATTGTATCTACGAGACCAAGATGAATATCAAATATCCATTTCGAATCCAAACATTAGTATCCAATGGCCAACCAATCGAACACTTCAAGTTCCAAATTAGAAATCCGGGATTATAAGTTCTAGTTCATTATATTTCTACTGATAGATGATATCATAGTAGTTAACCTTGGAAATCACCTTCAGTGACATGTTATAAATAGAACATCATTCATAGGAATGAATGTTTCTCGAAAATGAAATAGTTACTACTATACGAGCCCGTATATTAACCATACAAAATACTACTACCTATGTTGAATTGTTTCAAAACAAGTAACGATAGGTAGCTTTCCTTTCATACATCTCACAAGTCGAGGTTAACATTCAATCACAACAGTTATAGTCTAGTCCGTTCGTAGCTAGATACCCCTTCCTCACTCACCTCGCTTCAATCTAGTAGTCTTCTTTCCCATTCTATGCCCTCCAAAAAGTGCAAAAAAATGCAAAATTACACTCAATGGGCGTTGCCCGGGATTGAACCGGGGACC